TTTTTTTTAATCGCGCCGCGACTCTTTTCCCCTCCCCTTTGCCATGCCGCTTGTATGGATGTAATTCAGAATCTGTGTGAATTCACGTGGGGGATCCAGTTACATCTTGTTCCGCTCCGAGTATATTTACGAGAGACCAATAATCGCCTTTGGACACATAGTTTTGTTGCTAACCTTTGAACTGAAAGGATCAAGTTCAGATCTGGTTACCTGCATTGGGACGGGAAGGAAGAGGAGAGAGAGAGAGAGAGGAGAGAGAGAGAGAGAGAGAGAGAGAGAGAGAGGAGAGAGACTGCAATCTCATTTGTGAATCGCTCTCAGTGCTGCAGATCCAGATTGCTTTAACACATGCACTGCAAATGCAGGTAAGGCACACACACAAACTGCGGATGCAAAAAAAACTTGGGACTGTTGTGTATGTATGTTCATATCTACAGCCTTGCAAATTCCGGGTTAACGGCTTCTGCAGTTTCTGTATCGTTGCTTTGTGACTAATGACCTTGCGCAGAGTTGTTAAAAAAAAATCCTCTCCGGAGAAAGAGCTGAACATTTTAGGCGATCTCTGAAGATGGATTTGGGAGCTTTTCTGCCAACCAAAAGGGATATTCTGTGGACTGCTCTGTAATACAAGGGGTTCTTCTATCAACTGTGCAGCTACCGACATTAATTTTTTTTTTTTTCCTTTCCTTTTTTTTTTTTTTTTTTTTTAAAGAACTGCCTATTGCTAAGAGGATTTGGAGTTTTCCCGGACACAAGCCCTTTGAATAAAGCGAATCAAGGTTTGTTTTTTTTCCTGTGTGTGCAGAGAGGGAGAAGAATAAAGCTAATGCCTTGGTCGTAAAAGGCTGAGAGAGAGAGAGAAGAAAGACAGAGTGTGTGAATTGTAGTTAACTCTAGTGTCGAAGAAGACGACCTGGGGTGCTTCGAATAGCTCAGTGCTGCTCCTGCTTTTATTGCAAACCTTGCAAAGTGATTACAGTAAAATCAGAGAGGAGGAGGAGAAGGGGGAGGAGGAGGAAAATCCCATCCTATCTGCCGAGATGAATCTTTAAAAGGCAAAACACACTGTCCCGTGAACTGTAAGTACACTGCAACTGCAAGGCAGGGAGAGCAGCAGAGGAGCCGGCAGGCAGGGTTTTGACCACCGATTGCACCAGCCATGAGACAATAAGCTTCCAGGAACAGAAGGATTTTGTAACTGATCAGCCGGACACTCAGCCGCCCTGTTGGCTTCTCAGGGGAGTTTATTGGGGGGCGAGTGGGAGTGAGCGGA